CACATTGTCTCCCACAAAGATCAGAGAAGTTATACGGCGCCAGTCATTTTCACTTCTTCAGATGATTTACATCCCAAAACAATTGGCTTTGCACTCAGATTTCTCCCCCCATATTCTCTTTGTGTTCTACTTCTTTCTTCCCCATTCCTTTTGCATCCCATTTTCCTCTTCCCCCATTTTCTGCGCTTTAAAAGAATAAACCCTGAGACTGGCTCTGGTCGCAACTTCTCCATCAGAGAAGCTGTGCCCTCCCGCTCCTCGCTTTTCTATACGTGTGTGTCTTTGTGTGTTTGTTACTGCGTCTATTTCTAATCCACAGCCTTCCCCACTCAGAGGAACGTGTTCATACCGAGATGGTCCCGGCAATACACAACAGAACTTCAGAGGAACGTGTTCATACCAAGATGGTCCCGGCAATACACAACAGAACTTCACTGCTCACGGTCCTGCAGGCTGGAAGTCCAAGATGCAGGTGTTGGCAGATTCCAGGTCTGCTGAGGGCTACTCTCTGGGTCACAGATGGAGACTTCCATGTTCTCACATGGTGAATGAGACAAAGGGGTCGCCCAGGCCTCCTTCTTCGGGCACTAATCCCACTCATGCGGCCTCTGCCCATGACCTCACCACCACCCAGTGTTCTACCTCCTAATGTTCTACCACCTTGGGGGTAGGATTTCAACCTAAAAATTTTGGAGAGAATACAAACATTCAGATTATAGCATTCTTCAGTCACTGTTTCTTAGAATTATGTATGTGTGTGTGTGTGTGTGTATTTTTTGGGCAATTATTTAAAAGTATACATGATTTTGATAAATGTCTTTTCATTTATATTGCAAACATTTAAAAAATAATTATTTAATTTATTATTATTTTTAATTTATCAGAGAAAGACACACTCACACACAGACACACACACACACACAGAGAGAGAGAGAGAGGGAGAGAGTGAGACAGTAAGCTGCCAGGTCCAGGACTCCAACCGTGGTCAGCCATGTGGGAGTCCAGCACCTTAACCACCACACCACCTACTGGCCTCTATTGTAAACAGTTTTACATGTTGTACAATAGTTTACATATTGAAACCTTTTTTTTCTTTTTAAAAATTTACAAGAGGATGTGTGTGTTCACCAGAAACAGAGAGAGGAAAAGTAAGGAAGTACTTCCCTCATGGGTAATGGTCACACCATACTCCCTTTTCTTCCATTTCTCCCTCCAGTTGGAATTTGGGGCATGTACACATATCCACCTGGAGTGTTTCTGAAGCTACCTGGTCCAGGACTCAAACCATGCAGTAGGACATGTGGGATTTAGCCACCTTAAACACCATGCCACCAGCTGGCCCCATATTCAAGCTTTTAAATGACCACATCAAAAACACACTTTTAAATTAGTTATGGAAATGTAAAAGAAATACTTATGAATTAGCATATAATAGGCCAAAATGCAGTCCTAAGAAAAAGTCTATCACATAGGAAGATGCACAAGCATCTGTGTGCCCGACAGGGCAGAGATGAGAAATACGTGGTTACAGGGCTGCACAATGCGAGAACTCGACACACTGCATGGGTCAGGGAACAGAGGGAAGGCCCCCATGCAACCAGGGCCGTCAGAGAGCAATTGCTGCAGGGACTCACTAAGCTGAAACCCTAGGGCTGGCCAAAGTGGGGCAGAAGGTTGAGAAGGTGACTACTGGGTCAGGCAGTGACACGGCAGTCACACAGCTGAGCCCGCATGGGAGAGGGCCAGGCTCTGCCTCCCAGAACCTCCCCGAGAATGCTGGGTGCAGGCATGCATGCCTGTAATCCGGGCCAGTTGAGACAGGAGCCTCAGTGTGAAGACCCTGTGGAGGGGCTCTCTCTCTCTCTCTTTCTCTCCTGGAGGAAATAAATAAATAAATTAGAAAAGAATAACAAAGAAAAGGAAAAAAAATGATTCAAAGCAGATAGACAAGCCCCTGTGAAGATCAGGAGGTAAGCATCTCATTTAAATGCAAATTACAAATTGACATTTTCGTCCCCTCTTGATTCAGTGACAAACCATTCTTTCAGCCTGCACAGCTGAGGATGAGATCAGGCAGCATGGGTCCCTCTAGCCAGTGCCACCGTCTGTGTGGTCCAGCAAACCTTCCAGGGCACTCTCTGCTGTTTTTGCACGGTTCTTCGAACCACAGCAACAGTTCTTAAATACTAGGTGCTACACAGTTTAGTCATAGGGTTTCCTGAAGACAGGCTCCATGATACGTGGAAGCAGAATTTCTTCAAAAACTGAATACTCTCCTCACCATCGGCATGGCGTAATAAGGGGATATGGCTGCGGAACACACACTCTTCCCAAACAGTGGTTTCACCCCGTGTGCTTTTCACATAAGCACCTCACATCTGTGCTTACTGATCGCCATTCATAACATTAACTCTTTAATTTACACCCTGGGAACTGTCTGGGGAGCACACACAGCTAGAAAACACAGCTGGAAACTTACCTTTAGTGGACAACTTCGGGAACGTCGTGGATGATAATCCGAGATGTTTAAATCCAACACGAATTGTCACCTGCCTCTAACATGAAATGCTACACCTATCAATGTAGATTCACAGTTTCACCTGGCATCACAATTAGGGTGCATCGATTGTGTTTTTTACCAGCTTATCCCACGGTCTCCATTGACTTGTTCATTAGCGATAGCTAACAGGACTGACCGCGGCCGACCGTGCTGGAGAAGGCGGCGAGGACACCGTGCTGGAACCACACGGGAGGCTCTGGTTGGACTCTTGATCCAACCTAAAGGTCGGGGCAGTGCCAAACAACTGGGAGGCTGAGGCAGGAGGAGGATCCAGACACAGCAGCCTCAGTCTTTATAAAGGAGGGGCCAGTAGGCGGTGTGGTGTTTATGGTACTAGGCTCCCGCATGGCTGACCATAGTTCAAGTTCTGGACCTGGCGGCTTGAAACTCACTCACATTGGCTGTGTGTGCATGCATGCTCAAAATCCCAGGAGGAGAATGGAGGAGAAGGGATTGCATGGCCTTTCTCTCTCCCTGTCTCTCTCTGTCTCTGGCAAGTGCATGCATTCTGTGGCAAAAACCTTCTTAAAAAATAAAAATAAAAGAGTAAGAAGAATACCAACCATAGAATGAACTGCTTCCCACATGCCAGGCACTGTCGTAAGGTGCTTGATGGGAATCAACCCAGTGAGCCCTCATGAGAGCCCTATGAGGGGGATGCTCTCGTTGATCCTGGGGTTTGCCCACGGTGACGGTGGGGCCGCAGCTGCAACCCCGGCATGTGGGTGCTGGTCTGCCTTCTCTGCTGCCCCTCTGCTCTCTCTCGGGTCATAGTCCACAGCTTTGTTTCCGCGGCCCGTCTCTCAGGAGGGCTGGCACAGAGGGGACCCTCGTGTGTGCCGCCTGCCTGATGGGTGTCCAGGAGCTCTGTGAGAACGTCCCATTCCAGATCACTCAGACACAGGCTCACTGTGGAAGGAACAACGGCCGTGAAGGCGGGTCTCAAAAATGCAGCGTTGGGACCAGCAAGTGCCGTAATGGCTTATTACTAGACTCCCATGTAGTCGACTATGGTTTGAGTCCCAGACCCAGAGGCTTAAAACTCATGCCAGGCACGTGTGCATGTGTGTCCACAATCCCAAGAGAAGAATGGAGGAGAAGGGATTGTGGTGTGGTCATCCCCCCGGGGGGTGATTTCTCGCTTTCTGTCTTGGCCTCTCCGATGAACGTACATGCCCTGTAGCAAAAATCTCTAAAATTCAAAAACAAAAATGCAGCAACATGCCTTCATGCAGTGACTGGCACTGAGTCGACTATGGTTTGAGTCCCAGACCCAGAGGCTTAAAACTCATGCCAGGCACGTGTGCATGTGTGTCCACAATCCCAAGAGAAGAATGGAGGAGAAGGGATTGTGGTGTGGTCATCCCCCCGGGGGGTGATTTCTCGCTTTCTGTCTTGGCCTCTCCGATGAACGTACATGCCCTGTAGCAAAAATCTCTAAAATTCAAAAACAAAAATGCAGCAACATGCCTTCATGCAGTGACTGGCACTGAGCTGCCCTGAGATGGCAGGAGAGGAAATTCTCAGGAGTGCTTTTTGCAACCCAAGCTTCTCTTTTAAACATTTCTTAGACAAATTTGCTGGCAAGGCAAGAGAGTACTTAGCTTTTTGAATGAAAGTTTGCTTTCTTCAGACTTTGATAGCACTGAAGAAACTACCCTGACTTTAATAAGAGGAACTGCCGGGGTTAACTGGGGGCTCAGAACAGAGATCAGAGTGGCTATTTTGTCACCAGGCAAGTCTTCCAGGCCACGAGTGAGACTTCTTTTCTGCATCCTCCATGTTTATTGAAAACATACCTTAAAAGACAGACTCGGAGCTCTTTTCATGCTTTTATTGACAATTTGAATAAAACTTTAGACATAGCTGTCAGATATTTCTTAACACATTTCAGAGAAAAATAAAGGTTCTTCTGCAGATTTTATTTCTATTCTTCTGATACATTCATATTTGTTACACCATTTATGCTCAAATAACACTGCTTGTGATTCATGTATAGTGGCTATGTCTTCTTTCACTCATTTTAAGAATCGCTATCTATTCTAAAAAAAAGAAAAAGAGTAAGAACTACCGAGAAAGGCAAAGAGGCCACGCCGCATGGCCCCACACCCCAGGGCCTCCCCATGCCTGACCTAGTTCAGGTGTTGTGAACCCAACACATCCCGCCAATGAGGAAGGAGGCAAGCATGGAAATGCCACTGAAACCGGAAATGCAGTGGGAGACAGAAATGCTGTGTGCTCTGTGTGACAGAGGGGGCATCTGATTTGTCACAGCGGGACGGCGGGAGGAGCCACAGTTAGTGGGATTGTCAGTGATACAGCCAGGCTCTGATTGGGGCAGAGACCCAGCCTGGGCTCGAGCTCAGCCTTGGGGACCTCGCTTCTCGTACTGCACATTGAGCTCACCATCATTTCCACGCCACCTTTGGCTTCCCGACACGACACAGGTCTGACAGCCCTGGGGCCATGTTGGAGTGGTGGGATGACCTGAGGGTGCAACCTGATGGGGTGGCAGGGTCTCACTAACCCTGGGGCAGGAAGGACCGTCCCTGAGTGGGCAGGACACATGGATTATCTGAGGCAGTTAGAGAAAGAGGGACAGAGGTCCTCAGGTGTGACCTAAATTCATGAGGTCACTGCCTCCCTCTTGCCAGAAGGGCCTCTGGTGCTACATTTAAAAAGAGAAGCCCTGTTACCTATATCTTAATCCCCAGAGTCCCTAAATCCACGTCCTCAGTATTGTTCACGATCTTCCTGAGAAGCCAAAAGTTAAATTAGACCAGACAGTGGTTTTATGTCCATATTTGCAGACTGAGCTGTGAGAAGAGCAGTTTTCTGTGTCTCATGTAAATCTGTTTGATGTGCTACAAATACCTCAATAATAATACTACTAATAAAAGCTGTAAACTTGATCAACAATCAAGTTCGTTCCAGTTAACACGAGGAATATTTGCTGTTCTAAGGGAAGAACTCACCATGAAGAAACCCACTGGGCTTGTGCCACTCCGCGGGACCTGCAGACGGGACAAGCTGGGTGTGCAGACAGAGGGGAGTCGGCCCTGTTTTGTTCTGATAGTCTGAGAAGTGCTGGTTCTGTACAGACTGGGATTCAATAACCTCCACTTTTGTTACCACCAAATATTGTTATGAAATCGTTCCTGAAACTGTCTCCTTCGTAGGCGCTTTATCCATTCAATTTACAGAGAAGCCAAATGTATCAGCTACATTTCCAAGCTGCAAAATGAGTACTTGAAATCAAGTGACAGTGGTAATATTTTCAGAAAAACAATTTCTTTCTAAAGGTTCAAATAATTAAATGGAACGAAAATACATTACATTTGGATGGAAACAGTCGACATTCAAATTAACATTCATAATTTCTCACTGAGTTGACAAGCTGACTTAGGCATAGCTGGTATTTCGTCAATGCAATTGACATAGAATTCCTGCAGATTAACGATGGTTTTACCTATTGCCTGTGGTTCTTTGGGAATTTACACTCCCTAAAAATTTAAAGAAAATACTGTTCTTAACGCCATCAGTATATTATGCCGTCAGAAAAGTCATGACACATTTTTTATGTTTTTGTACGCAAAATTTGTCATGACTTTTCGGACGACCTAATAGTTTTGATGATTCACTGCAGTCCGTCTTCCAGGGAAGCCGTGACAGCAGTCCCGAAAAGTGATCTCCCACCTTGTCAGTGGCTTGTTCGTGTATTTACTGAAGGTAAAGTTCAGGTCATGAACCCAAGGAATCTCGCTCTAAGTCCTGATCCAGCCTGACCTGAACTCATCAATGTGACCATCCACACCGAATCCACAGGCTGCACTGTCTTCTGGGCTCCGGCATTTGTGATTCTGAAATTACCTTTTGTTGGTGTCACAACTGTGCTTTTCACGGACATAGTGAAAGAAATTCGGAACTTCCGCAATTTTACTTTGGGGATTTTTGGAGAGAACTTAATGTGTGTGTGTGCATGTGCGTGCTCACACATGTTTGGGAAAAGAAAAGTAGCAAATGAAAGGGGGACCCTTGCGTGATTCCAGCCAGGGTGGCGTGGCCGGGGATGGCAGCTACACGTCGAACCAGTGGTCCCCCATGCAGACGCGGTTCCACTCACAGCCGCAGTTCCAGCACCACTCGAGCTGGCACTGGGCCTGGGGACACTTCATGTGCATGCATCCTCCTGTGGGGGACAAGGGACACAGGCATAGTGGGTTGGCAGCAAATGCCAGGGAAACACTCATCCCCAAACCACCACGCTAGTCCAGAAAGCACTTCCTAGGTGGACTGTCACAAGCGACAGGAGGACAGAGAGAATCTGAGTCACAGGGAAAAAGTCAGAAAGCACGGTAAGGCAGCTCCGAATGTGGGGCACTAAGAGAGGAATGGAATTGAAGCATGCCACTTTTATCCAAAACACACTATATGCGTGCATCTGACTTCATCTCCTGCTCCTGAAATGGGACGTAGAGACAAACGCTTCATGTTTCACAGACAGGGGTTAGTTGCTCATTTAAATATTTAAATATATGTTATATTTAATCATTTAATATAATTTTATTGATTCTCCGATTCTACTTGACTTGACACATTTTATAAAACAGGAGTTGGAACAGAGAATTACCTTTTTTTCTTTATTGTGCCAGATGGGACATGTGTTTGCCAGAGAGAGACTGACTGAGAGACAGAGAGAGGAGAAAGCTCCCTCCAATGGAGAGTGGTCATGTCTCGTCTCTTCTCCTTTATTTCTCCATCCTGTCGGGCATGGGGCTGCACCTGGTGTGTGTTTCAAGTAGTCAGGGCCAGGACTTGAACTGTTTGGTTGGCCATGTTGGATCTGCCTCCGTCAACCACTAGGCCATGGGGCTGGCCCCAGAGTATTCCTTTTAACAAGAAATATGTTCCTAAATGCTACTCAAGATTTTATTTAAGACAATAAGGATAGAGAAGAACTGTGCACGGATGTCAGGTGCTCCAGGAACCTCATTGACTCCCAAGAGCACGCGGGATCAGGGCAGTACTCCGTGGCAGTATTTTCCGAGTGAAGCGCTAAGTGGACAACCTGAGCTATCACCAGATCTGTGCGGTGCTGTGCTCTTTCTTTCACACAGCAGGGCCTCCTCCCACGGTGAAGCGTCCCTAACTTGGAACTTACTTGGGGACTCCTCACCTTCCTCCAGGTGTTAAACATAGCCCCTCTCTGCTTCAGGGGCTTCACCAAGCACGTGTGAAGAGAAGAGGAACTTAACTGAGCTCTTTCTGACCGAGTTGCCTAGACGGTCCAGCCAAATGGCTTCTTTGCTTGACCACTACATAAAGGGAATATAATCCATTATTCAGCTTTACCAGTTACCTTGTAATTCTTTTTTTTTTTTTTGCCAATTTTTTCAAGGGAGTTTTTCAATACTATTCCACTTCTAGTATGAAAACCTGGCATGAGAACGGATTTTAAATATTTCTGAATATGTAGCTGTAGACGTTCATTTTAGGATACCTTCCATCTGAAACCCACTGTTTTTCTATTTCTTTCTCATACAAAGTTTACAGATATGTGGAAAACAAAGGAGAAAGCTCGTGACACCCTGACCTTGATACTTTCCATTCGGAATTGTGCGGTTTCCAGCACGTCCTAGCGACCATGAGCTCACGCTGTCAGGAACGTGATGAAGTAGCAGGCCCCGGAAAATCACTTACGCTTTTCTACATAGCATACAGAATACCTGAGCCAGGCGTTACAATTCAGTGAACTTACTAATTAGAGTGCTCCTAAACGAAAGGGTGAGCATGTTTTCCTGTTATGCCAAAAATGGAATAGTTCTGGAAGACAGGCGTCACTACCATTTGACTGTAAGACTGGGGTCACAGTGGCGCCGTGGCATAAGAAGACGAGAGACAGGAAGAAAGGGTGTGCACACGATTACTGCTTTTCTTCCTGGCGCTTCACATACACAAGAAGACTGCAGGAGCCACCGTGTGGAGGGGAAGGTAGGCACTTAACTCTAAAAGCTTTGCCCGCTTGGAACTAAATGCAAGCAAGCCCCCCTAGTCTGTAGTTACTGGGTGGAGGAACATGGCGCCCCTCGTGGTGAACTCTGAAGCCATGGGACGTGGGCCCTTCAGCGGGCGGTCAGCATCATGGCTTGGCCCGCAACTCTCCAGTAAGTAGACGGGGCAGAGGTTCCTCCACAGCCTGGAGGCAAATTTAACCGGCCACAGACACTCAGTGATGAGAGAATTGGAGCCAGAATCTCATCTGTTCAACATGGACGCGAAAAGCAGCTTTGGAGACTACAGGGACACCAGCAGGAGAATCAACGGTTAGCTCTGATGTAAAATGGAATTTATTCCCGTTCTCATTCCCTCTTAGCTGATGAAACAATTGCTTTCCTGAGATTTGGCTGAACAGGAAACAGGCCATGAACCTATATTAGAACCAGAAAAAAAAACTTTCTTGGGGGGACCAGCAGATGGCATAATGGTTATGTTGCTGGACTCCCATGTAGTCAATTGTGGTTCAAGTCCCGGATCCCACAGCTTAAAACTCACGCCAGGCACATGTGTGTGTGTACCAAACGTCCTGAGAGGAGAATGGAGGAGAAGGGATTGTGGCGTGACCATCTTCCCAGGGGGTGATTTCTTGTTTTCTGTCTTTTTGTCTCTGTCTCTTCAGTGAGTGCATGCACCCTATGGCAAAAATCTCTCAAACTCCCTCCCTCCCCCCCCCAAAAAAAAACCCCCAAAATCTTTCTTGGCAAGAGGGCGCCATCTCTTCCAGCCGTAGTGGTAAACTTTGGAACAATCTACTGGGTTGTCGGGAAAGTCATGACGCCTTTTTGCATAGAAAGACAGAGAAACACACCCTGGCTTTCCCGGTGGCCTAGTAGTTGGTCACCAACACGCCTGAAGCTTCAGTGCTTCTGCTCTAACGCTGAAGTTCTAGAGGTGAGAATTCCGTGGGTTCCCTTCACGGCTCACTGCACTATTTCCAAGGAATACCCTGAGCGGGAAACTGTTCTGTAGTCATTGATTGGTGCAACTGTACCCCCAGGGAGGCTGGGGGGACTGAGTCAAAGGCAGCTCTGACTTTCACTTCCCTGCGTTCCGTCCCTGAATGGCTTGTGTTCCATGATCCAGTCTGAGCCTTCCCCTGCCATCAGGGCCTGCCCCCCGCAGACGACCCACGGCTTCGACCCAAGCCCCTGCCTGGTGGCAGGCTGTGGGTGGTCCTCTCCCTCTCCCTCTTCTTCCTGCCTGGGTAATTTCTGCCCTTCTTGGATTTTCAGCTCAGGTGTCACCTCTCCCGGGAAGTCCCCTCTTTACTTCCGGGTCTTTATGCTCTAAAGCCTCAATCGTAGTCTGTGTAAAGTATCTGTGTTCATGTCCCTCACGAGCTACTCTAATTAAGCCTCAATCATACAGTCTGTGTAAAGCGTCTCTTTGTGTTCATGTCCCTCACGAGCTACTCTAATTCAACAAATACTTACCATCCAGGCAACTTCTGGGCTTAGGGCATAGACAGAGGTCTCTCACCTCACGGAGTTTATATTCTTTTCTTTTCTTTCTTTCTTTTTTTGGAGAGGTTTTTGCTATAGGGCGCGTGCGCTCGCCGGACAGACAGAGAGAGACAGACAGAAAGCGAGAAATCACCCCCAAGGGGGCTGCCCACACCAACATCCCTTCTCCTCTGTTCTCCTCTCGGGATCTTGGGCATGCATGCACCAGTGCCCAGCGTGAGTTTAAGCCACCGGGTCTGGGACTCGAACCGTGGTCGACTACGTGGGAGTCCAGCGACACAGCCATTACGCCAACTGCTGCTCCCACAGAGTTTATGTTCTACTGGGGCGGCAGACCGGTGACACATAACCGCACGCATTGAACAGTGATAGCAGGCAGTAGTGCTAGGCCCACTCCATCACGTGATGTGGCAGAGGGTGACTTGTGGGGTCAGGGGCACAGGCTCGGTCTGGGAAGCAGCTGCTGAGATGGGGATTGGCACCCTGAAGTCTATTCAGGGCCAATGTGGGGACAACATGGGAGAAGCTGGGCAGAGGGAGCAGATCAACTCCGACACGGCCTGAGGGAGGCTTCGGCAGGGCCTGCCCTGGGCAGGGGCAGCTCTCAGGGAACCAGCCTTGATGACCCTGTGCCAATAGACCCGGGGTGTGGGCTTCCCTGGGGAGGGGAAGGGAGGTGACTGGCGCTTATTCTGTGCAGCAGAGGGGGTTCTCTGGAGGGCTCAGAGCTGGGGACCTGGCAGCACCCCTGCAGATCAGGCAGCAGCCCTCCCTGCTGGAGGGTCTGGACGCTGCCTCAGCACACACTGCAGGAGGGCGGGGTCACTGCATACAGGGTGCGAGCTGGGCTCAGTGAGGGCGGGACACGGGCTGTGGTCTGAAGGTTGAGAAGGAGCCTGTGTGTGAAACGATGCTGCCCTTTCTAGAGCCCTTTGACCGGCCAGATGATTCAAGGTTTTCCCTAACTGAAATAATGCTGCAATGAACATGTTCCCCCGCCCCCAGACTGTGTGTGTATGTGCATATTGCGTATTTCAGATGATTACTGTTGGATAGATTTTTAGAAATAGAATTATTGGTCAAGAACGTAAACGCTTTAGCGTCTTTTTCTATATAGATTGCCAAAGTGGCTTCCAGAAAAGTGATGCTAATTTATGGTGTCTTCATCAACTTTGAGGATTATCATTAAACACAAGTCGAACAAAAATGAAAACCCTTTGAGAACAGCGAAGCGGTCTGTTACTACTTATTCTGTGTTCTCAGAGCCCTGTGACACAGAACATGCCCCTGCTGTCGACAGCCATGGCACTGCCCTCTGCCAGGAGGGGCCCGGGCACCACCTCGCTCTGCCACTGGTGATGCCATCGGCTGATCAGTGAGTGGCGGCCAGGCTAGAAAAGCTCCTTCCTGTGGTCCCACTGACTCCGCCTGCTCCTCACAGGTGCAGACCAGCCCGCCTGTTCTCTAGGGGCCCCCGCATGCCATGCCGCCCTCGCCCTTGCGCCCGCCCCCCCACAGGAGACCACTAACTGGGGCTGGAGCCGTGATCGAGCCCAGCCTGCTCCCGCCGCTCCGGGTGCATCAGCAATCCTTGTTTGTATCAAAGACTTTCCTGAAGGGTGTAAGTGAGGCAAGAGACACCCCAGTGCCTGTCCTGGGACTGCCAGGATTCCTCCACAGCAGGCGGCTCCCACAGCCCACCGCCAGGGGGCAGGAGTGTGCAATGGGGTGAACTCTGGGCGCCTGCACCGCCTCACATCTGTGCAAGTGTCTCGCATCTGTGAGTGCCAGTCTTGAGGGCTGGGTTGGTGGCTGCACGTCCAGGATGGACACAGTGGGCACCCCATTGGCTGCTGTGAGGTGCCAGGGTGAGGCTGCAGGGATCCTTTCACCAGAGACTAGGGCTAACTTCACATGATGCTGTGGGGTTGGGGGAGTCCACATGTTGAGGCCAATAGACCACGTGACCACACAACAAGGTGACCACACAACGAGGTCACCACAGCAGCAGAGGGCCACCAGGGAGGGGGAAACACCGAGTGCTCCATCCTGCAGGCCTGGCCACTTATCCTGAACCACGCCCGGCATCTTGACCCTAGCCCTGTGGTTATTCCCTTCCCAATACATGCTAGTCGCCGCCTGGCCACAGCCATCGAGCACGCTCCTGAAGAATTTCTGTACAAGAACGACGGTGACAACGGGAACGCGGATACGGGCTCACTCAGTGCAGGTCCTATCTCGTTTGACCGTCCCAGTAAGTCCTGAAGTACAGACTGCCCCAACGGGGTGGAGAAATCAAAGTCCCAAGTGTGTCCCAGTGTTCCAAAGGATATTAATAGGTAAGATACAAAAGGAGACAATTATGACCAAGTAAATTGGGGAAGAAGTTGGTTAAACAAGACAAATAATTCCTTTCTTTACAAAAGGAATTCAGAAATGCTTCTTTTTCATAGAGGTTTTTGTCTTAGGGTGTGTGCTCTTAGAGGGAGAGAGACACACAGCAAGAGGGAAAGTGTGAAATTACCCCTCAGAAGGATGGCCACACCACAATCCCTTCTTCTCCCAGGATCTTGGGCACACACACACCTGTGTCTGGCATGATTTTCAAGTCAGCGGTTCCGGGACTCGAACTGCAGGCAGCCATGTGGGAGTCTAGTGACGTAACTGCTACACCATCTCCTGGCCCCCAGAAATGCTTTAATACGCTAACGCACTGTGAAAGGAAGTAGTCATTGCTTCCTGGAGGTTTCTGTGAGGATTAAATGCTCGGACACTCACAGAGAACTCAGCGCGAACATGCCAGGAAGGCGGGGTATGCAGTCGTTCTCTGGCGGTCATCACCAGGCAGCAGGGCCACGACTGCAACGGTCCGAGCTGATCTGACACGTGAGTCCCCTTCCCTCTGCTATCCCGAGACACTAGAGGACCATGGAGGACACTTGGAAGACACTCGACTGGGACTGGGAAGTCTCCTTAAGGTGGTGGTTGTTACAGAAGTGTGGACGCCCTGCCAGACGCCAACTGCCTGACATTAGCAATAGATACCGACGCGGGCGGAGCCAGCAGACGGCGTAGTGCTTACGTGGCCGGACTCCTACATGGTTAGAGCCCCGGGCCTGGAGCTGCAAAATCACCCCAGGCGGGTGCGTGTGCACGTGTGTGGCCATGATCTCGGAAGGAGAACGGAGAAGGGAGGGCGGCATGGTCATCCCCTGTGGGGTGATTTCTCACTTTCCCTCTCACTGTCTCTCTCTTTCTTTCTCTCTGTCTGATGAGCTCATGTGCCCTAAAGAAAAACCTCTAAAAAAATAAATAAATGAAAAAAACATAAGGGCAGTTAAAGGTGGTTGAGAGCCTTCTCTGCCAGGCACAGGTGGGCGTGGCCTGGTGTCACGTGCTGACACTGTCCTCCATGGCAGCTTCTGCTACGTCTCCCTCTCACAGCTGAGAGTGCAGGCCGGGGGGTCAGGACCTCCGTGTGCGGAAGTCGAGGCCTGAACTCTGGTCGGATGGCCTCCAAGTCCCTGTGCTTCACTCTTGGGGTCATGAACTCCCAGGACCCCCGACTGCAGCAGCCATGCAGCCCTCATGCCCCACAGCAGCCCTGGCTCCTGCTCCGTCCAGACTCACCATTCTTTTCAACAGGCACATGGCAGCGGGGACAAGGCTTGGTGGTCTTCTTGATGGTCTCCCTGGACGCCTCTTCCCAGCACGCTCGCTCCGCAGCCCTTCTGTCCACTCTGAAGGCCTGGGTGGACGCAGAGAAAAGGGGGTTAAATTCAGATTCGTATTGCTGGGTTGAGGTTTAGGGTCGTTGAAACGCTGGTATGACAGGAAATTTTTTTTTTTTTTTTTTTTGGAGAGATTTTCACTGTAGGGCGCGTGCGCTCGCCAGACAGACAGAGAGAGACATAGAGATGGAAAGCGAGAAATCACCCCCCAGGGGGGATGGTCACGCCGCAATCCCTTCTCCTCCATTCTCCTCTCGGGATCTTGGGCACGCACGCACACGCGCCCAGCGTGAGTTTTAAGCCACCGGGTCCGGGACACGAACCGCGGTCGACTACGTGGGAGTCCAGCGACATAGCCATTACACTAACTGCTGGTTCCCATGACAGGAAATTCTTAAAGACAGAAGTGCCTGCAGGCAGGAAGCTCAATGTCACCCCTGTGCTAGTGCCGGATGGCCACCCGGCCCAGGGGAGCGTGATCTTGGGGTGTGCTGAGGGCTTCCAAGCCAGGAAAAGATCGCTTGCTTTTTCTGTTTTTTTTGTTTTGTTTTGTTTTGTTTTTCTGAGTGATTTTTGCTATAGGGCACATAAGCTGGTTAGAGAGACAGAGAGACAGAAAGCGAGAACCCCCCTCCCCCCCAGGGGGGATGGCCACACCACAATCCCTTCTCCTCCATTCTCCTCTTGGGATCTTGGGCACACACACACACACGTGCCAGCATGAGCTTTCTTCTTCTTTCTTAAAGAATTGTTTTATTCAACGTTTCATTTCCTTCCTTCCTTCCTTCCTTCCTTCCTTCTTTCCTTCCTTCCTTCCTTATCTCCCTCTCTCTCTCTCTTTTTTTAAATTTTTGACCAGAGAGGAACAGAGTGAGTGAGAGAGAGAGAGAGAGAGAAAGTGAGAAAGCAAGCTGCCAGGTCCAGGACTCAAACCACAGTTGGCCATGTGGGAGTGCAGTGCCCTTAACCACCATGCCACCTGCCGGACTCCCTGGCATGAGTTTTAAGCCACTGGTTCCAGGACCTGAACCGCAGTCGAATATGTGGGAGTCCAGCAACCTCACCACTACGCCACCTGCTGGTCCTGAGGTGGCTTGGTTTTACATGTGAGGCCCTCTGGCCTGTGTCATTTCCCGTAATCTTAGTGACTAGCCCCCATCAGGTGCTCAGTATGCAGGCCAGGTGACAAATGCTAGGCACATTTCCCGTTAGGCACTGCACCGGGTGTGAAGAGAGTACACGATCTTATTTCACAGTGAGGTTCGGATGAGTTCAACGAGGACCCGCAGCTGGTAAGGAGAGTCCGAGAGACGCTGGAATCTCTGCTTTCAGACTTCCCTCTTTATCTGGAACCCGCTGATTGGCCCGGGAAATGAGGGACTGCCAACGTTGTCAAGGGAGTGGCAAAAGCAAGAACGAGGAATTGAAGCCCACGTGACAGACAAGGCAGCGGGAGGCCGTGAGAGCCAGAGGCTGACTATGGGCTGCAGAGCTGGGTTCTCACGTGCCCCTCAGGTAGAATCAGAGGTGCCCCTTGCACTGGGGCGTGCCGGACTTCGAGAGCTCATTTCTTAGAAGACCCAGGACAAGCCTCTGACCCATGCCGCTGTGTGACGACGTGAACGACCTCGGGACCCACGGCACGGCAAGCTCTCTGATCTATCCTCCAGACTGTTCATGTGACCGAGGACTGTGCTATCCCTGCCTCGGACCGAGGGGGACGGCATTTACCAGGCGGGCAGAGTAGGAGTGGCAGAGCGTCCTGGTGTCTGCTTTCCAGGCAGGTAAGGTGGAGAGCCCAGAGCAGGCCCACGCCGAGGGCTGGCACTGCTCGCTTCTCAGTCACCTGCACCTGCCTGCTCACGCAGACGGCGACCTCTTCCTCCCTCAACGACTGGATGGCTCGTGCCAGAAAGAGCTGGGATATTTCGGGATTCAGTACAGAACCTAGGTCTAGGAATAAACTTTAAAACGTTTATCCGAATAGAACACCTCCATCTTGGCCTCTAAAGTAGTCACATTTTTTTTTTCTGTGCTTTAAAAAGATCCAAACATGCAAATCTTTTTGTTATTAACTTATAATGACAATTAAACAATATTCCTACTAAGTGAAGCAAGTCAGACTACAAAAGACAGACTTTGTATGTCCCCACTCCACACAAACCGTCTACACTCTACAGAAGAGACGGCAAGTTTGAAGGCGCAGTGCAGGGAGGGCAAGCGTGGATCCTGGAGATGGTGAGGACAGGGCATGCAGTGTGGGGGTGGGTAATGGAGGGAGGGAGGGGAAAGGGGGAGGAAAAGAGCCTGTTCAATCGGCGGCAGATGAAAAGCTCGTGCTGATGATAGTGTATACGGTGATGTCTGTCTCGGCTGGTATGCGTGGTATTCGTGCTGGAAGAAGAAATGTACCCGTGAAGCTATGTATAGACATATGTGACTAAATATAAATGAAAATAATTCCTAGATGAGTGCCCATCGGAGTCGATCTGGAAAGCCTGAAGGACGCCCTCCCAGGGGTGCCCACACCAGGCTCCTGTCCCACGCACTGAGCCCCGGGAATCAAGCCCTGCCCAGTGTCAGTGAGAGTGACAGCCAGAGGCCCCAGGCTGCCTGGGCTCAGGGACAGCCACCCTCCCGGGACGCCCAGCAAGGGCCCGGGCGTGAATGTGATGAATAGAGTCCTTCACTCCAGCTGTGAATACGACTTTCACCATCTCATCCTCTTCGGATCCTAGGCCCTTTGGAAACGTTAGTGTTTCCGTCTTGGCGAATGGGGTATTACGAGGGAAATGCTGCAGTGCACAGCCGTCGCATCGAGTGGCGTCTATAGACAGCAGTAGTTTTGCTTTGTTTTCTAACACACCGCAAATTCTCCCAGGGCCACCACCATCTGGCGCTGTGCTCAGATCTCGGGGCCTGGGTGGTGCCTACTCTCGGGCACTCGGCAAGTCGTAGCTGAGTGGATGAATAAACAACAGCCCGGTGGGCACCAAATTGACAGTCACGGGGAAGGGGACCCATAAAATGGCCAGGCGGGCTCGGCATTCCGGGGGGCAGGAACCACAGACAAGATCTGCCCGGGGCTGTCCCTGGGCACAACCAGTTCCACTTCCGTTGGGGCCATGGTATTCATGAAGGGGTCTTTGATGACTCAGAGCGTCTCCTGCCATCTGTGAACACAGAACACGGCGGTCAGTGTCACAGCTGAGAACCGACCACACGGCCCGGAGCCTCCCCAGGTTCTAGGACATCACTGACCGCTCAGGCCGACAGCCCGGGGTGACGCTCCGGCACCCAGGCTGTTCCAGGGTCTAGTGACTAAGTATGCATCGTCTTCCATTCACCTGGGATTCACTCTTCGTCTTAACTCTCAGGGGGTACACAGCGAATACCCAGATGCCACACAGACACCCTCCCCCACCCCCACAAACACCTTCCGACCCTGTCCCCACTGCATGTCCAATCTGTCCTTTGGCAGTCAGGGAGTCTGTAACCCTGTAGTAACAGTGGGGCCGGCAGGGGACATAGTGGTCTGGATGCTGCACTCCTACATGGCTGACAGTGGTTCAGGTCCTAAATCTGCTGGCTTGAGGGTCACACCAGGTACGTGTGTGTGCATGCCCAGAATACTGGGGGGAGAGAGGAAGAAAAGGGACTGTGGTATGGCCATCCTCCTGGGGGTGGTCTCCCTTTCCCTCCCTCTGCCCCTCTTTGGCAAGTGCACATGCCCTATGGCAAAAACCTTATAAACAGAAAACAAACAAAGCCTTACTGGCAAGTCGCTCAGATTGGAGGAGGAGATTTTCCGTGACAAATCTCTCCCAGGTGCCCCCTGTCAGTAGGTCGGCACACCGCACGCCAAGAAATTCCTCCCAGGTCCATACACAAAGGAATGCTGGGTTTGTCATGGGAAAACTTTTTCTTTGCTTTCCTTTTTCTTTTTTTCTTTCTTTTTTTTTTTTTTTAACCTGGTTGATCTGGTGGGAAGGTAAGGCCAGAATAAGAAAGAGAAAATCCTCCCGGGTGAGAGACGAAGGAACCTGGTATCTGCTGTCCGCTGTTTTTCCAGTTCCCGCAGCCCAGAGTCTGGGTCTGCAGGGTCCTGAGAGAACAGGGTGACAGGAAGCCGGGGGCCAGAGCAGGCGGAGAGACGGAGTTGGATCTTCTCACTCACAGACCACCTGCACTCCTGAGGGGGCCCTCGGTGGAGGACGCAGGGGAAATGGCCTTCCCGGAAGAGAGGCCTGACAAAGATTACGTGTTGACCTCAGGCTCTGTTCCACGGTGGGGCAGGCTGGGTGACAGCTGAGCCTCAGGCACAGGGTCCCTGGGACTCCAACCATCTAATTAGTGCAAAAACACACAAGCCAAGAAATTAATTTGAAATATTCCTAGGTAGTACATCCAGGAATCTGGCTGAAGCCAAATAGCTTCTGTGCAGTAAGGCACTTTAAAGAGGCAAACTCCAAGAAATGACACAAATACAATGGCAAGACACCACTTACAGAAGGCTAGCTACCACGTGCGGAAGTGCAGAGACACGGCTGGGGTCAGGCCGGCAGAGGTCGCAGGTAATGAGTCAGAAGCAGAGTGCAAAATAAATACGCTTGTATACAGAGAGAAATAAAAGGAAGTGTGGAAAGAGCATACAATCGTGGAATAAGAGAATATCATGGCTGGGCTGCAGGTGGCATGGTGGCTGGGGCGTCGGACTCCTCATGGTGGAATGCAGTTCAAGTCTGAGACCTGGTGGCTTGCCTTTTCACTTTCCTATCCTCTCTTTCTGTGGTCAAGTTAAATAACAATAACAATAAGTGAAATTAAACAATTCTTTAAGAAAAAGAGATTATCATGATGAACTAGGAAGATCTAAAAAAGAAATTTCTTTTTTTTGTTCATTTGTTCTGGACAGGAAAACTAATAATTAAAATGAGCAACTCAATTGATGAATGATATAGAAAATTAGATAAAAGTGAAGAGAATGCTTGAACTGAAACAGAACTGAAGAAGTGAC